ACAGTAATCTTTATGAAATGCAGGACATTATTGACCATTTACCCAAATTGCCTGAAATCCACAGCAAAAACTAACTATTCCTGAATTCGACGAAATAGAAGTGAAACCACTGACTCAGTAGAAATAAAGAAATTCATACGTAAAGTAAATTATGAGTTTCTAGGATATCATTGCAACCATAAAGTTATGGACAAAGATTGAGACATGGTTTATAAAAATATTTCTGACATATATAAATCGGTGGAGTTTAAGACATACGATAACTTTGTTTCATTAGTTGCAAAATGTGTTTGGGAAATAAGAGATAAAGATAGAAGAGGTAAGGTAATGGGCATGAACAGATAAACCAGCAGCTTTTGAGTTAAAGAAACCATTGACGCCTTAGTTGTTCTAGCTGGTTTTATTTCAATGTATAACGCAAAAATGAATCCGCAATGTTCAAAATGTAAAGCAGCAATAAGAAAATATAACTACTCAGTCAAAGAGATAGAAAGAATGCGAAACGACTATGCAGACTTAAAGAAAGAAGCAGAAAAGCCAGCAGAAGATAAAATGGATATGTTAGAATTTCTGAACAAAAACTATCCAACAGCAGAAGATTTCCTTCTGTCTGACGTCAAGAAGAAATATAAAGAAACCTTCGGCATCGTTAAAACATTAGATATCCTCAGCGAAGAAATAGAAGCTACAAAACTGTTTAGGATTTCAAATATACATCGTACAATTCATGTAAAACGCTTGTGAAAAAAGAGGTGAAAAAACAGGTGAAAAAACGGGTGAGATCTCACCTCTTCACCTAAATTATATTTTTGCTGAAAAATGACCAAATTTCATGAATTTTCATAAAAGATAAAAATAACGCTAATTTTTTTCTAACAAATTTTTTATCCTGTATATAAGAAACAGTAATGTCAACATCAGAGAACACAACAACAGTTATAGTCCATGAAGCTATAAATGAAGAATACGAGTACATACAGTATAACAAACAGTTACGTCTCATTCGTTCAGTCAAAGATGACATGTACCAAATGCAAAGTATAATGAATGCTCTTCGTTCTACAAAGCAAGCATATCATTGGTTTGAAACCAACAGGCAAAAGAACTTTTAGAAGAATTTCCTTCATATGATTGCTTCCCTCGGAAAACCGAGAGAAGAGATTCCGTATGAAAATCGCAAGAATTTGGCTCCTGGTTTGAAAGGTTATTATGTTCATAGACTTTTAGTAAATGCTGTAGCAATGTGGGCTTCACCTCGTTATGCTTGTTATATTTTCATGATGTTTAGATGAACTATATAAAGCAGAACGTGGAGAGATGGAAAAGAAACTTCAAGCAAAAGATGAAGTCATTGAATCCAAAGACAAAAGCATACAGAAAAGAATACCGCGTTCGTACCAAAAGGAAAGGAAAAGAGTTATAGGTATATGATATATACTGAAGAATTGGAGAAAGAAGAAGATAAAGATATGGTTATGTTGCATTTAGTCAGAAGAAACAACAAGAGCTTTTATGACTTAGCTAAAATATATAAATCTGACAGAAACTGGTTCTATCGTGAAAACTTACCGATTTCAATGACACCGAATGAGCAAATAAAGGAAATTGTCAAAAATACTCTTCCTCAAACACACTATGACATCAAAGGTTGCACAATACTTACATTCAAAGAAGACTTAACATTACTGAAGGAAAAAATAACAGAATATTTCGATAACTTCAAAGAGGAAGAATAAAGTCACGACAACATTAACGAAGAAGTCACGACAACATTAACGATGAAGTCACGACAACATTAACGATGAAGTCACGACAACATTAACGAAGAGAGAATGAGGTGAAAAAAGAGGTGAAAAAACGGGTGAGATCTCACCTCTTCACCTAAAATATATTTTTGTGCTATATTTACACTCATTTACGAAGAAGTCATGAATCCTACGTCAATTATGTTCGACACTGTAAGCATTAACGATAACATTAACGATAACATAAACGATAACATAAACGATAACATAAACGATAACATAAACGATAACATAAATGCTCCATGTCAATTATGTTCGACACTGATAACATTAACGATAACATAAACGATAACATTAACGATAACATAAACGATAACATAAACGATAACATTCATTTTTGCATTAATCCTGCTGTGTTGTCAAAATGTCATGTTGTCATCATTTTTAAAAGAAGTTAATTAACCTGGTGACATGGTGACGTGGTGACGTAGTGACACCATCAGTTATTCAAAAATATATTTTTGCTTAAATAGCTTCAGGGTCTATTTCTTCAACCATTTCACTTCCTTCGTCAATGTCAATAGAAGCTTCTTCAACCTTTGGTAAGAATTTCTGTATAACATCTTTGTTCGTTATTGTCTTCAGAGATGAAGGATAATATTTCACATTTGTTTCACCCTTCTTATATTCTTTCTGTTCGGAAAGATTTAAAGCAATACTGAAGAAGTCAATATTAGAGTTCTTTATAACAGTATAATGAGTATCTTTGACATTCACGAAGAAACTCTTTTGTTTCAAAACTACTGCTAACTCTTGTGAAGTATAACGTTTGCGGTCAATGACGATAGCTAATGGTCTGACATACTGACCAAACTTAGATTCTTTCACAAACTTCTTGTTAAAGATAACATTAACATTTGAAGCATTATTGAACTCATTCTTGATGGCAGTAGCGAGAGCATTGTATGAAAAGAACTTGCAATCTTGCATGTGTTTCATTAAAATAAAAATATTAAATTATTTTGAAAAATAACTTTAAAAAATCTAATCTAATTTTTTCAAAAATATTTTTTTATTTCCTACTAAAGATGTATCGGAAGTTGTCTAAGTTAGAACACTCGGAAATAAAACAACTTCTTACAGAAGCTAACATAGATGTTGCAAAACATTACGCAACAAACAAAAAAGCACTCGCTGACATCCTCAATGACTACAATGGTGCAATAAGTTATGATAGAATTCATGAGTTCATAAAGCCGCAACGCGGCGAGGACGAAGTCCATGCAAGAGCATTTCCTTTAAATGACGTTGCTATTGACTTATATCATAGACGTTCAGTACCTCATGAAGTAAGAAGAGAAATGTTTGACATAACAAATGCAAACGTTGGTGAAACAAGAAGAAGAGACGACACACTGAAACAACAGAGAAGAGAGATGTTTAAAAGTGCTATAGAACAAGTTCGCAAAGCTAACGATGTCATTCGTTCCATTGACGACAAACCAAAAGAAGGTGAGAGATGGTTAAAGAAAGATGAAGAGAATAGGAAGAGAAATGTGAAGTCAGGCAATAGACTCATTGACTTTAACATCGAAGCTTTAGATGAACCAAACAGAGACTACTTACACAAACATTTCGGTAAGGTTTTCATGAGACTCTTAGAGAAATTAAAATAAACTCACAACAGAGATGGATGGTATGTTATAAACTTGGTGGAAAGTATGAATGTTCTACGTTAAACCTCAATAATATTGGAACATTACTACATCAGCTCTTGAAGGAGAACTTTATATCAGAGATAGAAGCAAATGCTGCAGGTATTGTTGAAATGCACTATGACTTCTTCTTGACAAACATAAAGAATCTTACTGAAATAAAGATGTATGATTTAACAGAATATGAAGGCTTAACGATGTCAGATGTAAAGAAAGGCAAACCAAAAAAGAGACCATATAGAGATGAAAGCACACTGACAAATGACCAGAAAGCCATTTTGGAAGCTCTTAAGCAAACAGGAAACCCAGCACTTATAGAAAGCTTTTGGAAAGATAATGGTGAAAAGAAGTTTTATAAGAAGAGAAGCGGTCAGTTCTGGAAGTATCTTTGCACATTACCTATAAATCTTGAACGCTACCAAATCTTCAATGAACTGAACAAAAGAACTGCAACACTTATGACAGAAGACAATTGTTTCGTTTATGCTTGCATTCAGGCTGGAGTAAATGAAGAAACTATTGACCACATGAGAGAAGTCATTCGTGTTAGAGACTTTCCTCAAAGTAAAGTACAAGAAATTTCTGACGCAACAGGTATAGCATTTAATGTTACCATTGGTTATTTCAATGACTCAAGACATAATGAAATAAAGAGATACATACCAAAAGAATGTGAAACTGTTCGAACTATTGACTTACTTCTTGTTGAAGACCACTACATGCTAAATGAAAGATTACCAATGACAACATATTTCATTCGCAACTATATAGAAATCTTGAAAGTGTGGTGGAATGAACATTGAGAAACAAATGAAGATTTATACAAAGAGAGAAGATAAATATGTAGTTCGTTATGATAGAACAACACCGTTATGGGATGTTATGAAAACATTGTGGGAGTGCAAATATTTCGAACCTATTTCTTATGGAGAACTTTTCACATATACGACTGACTTATATAAACAGAACCTTGCACCATTTAAAGATTTGACATATGCTCCAAAGTATTGTGTACAACTGAAGAAGAAAGCCGAGTCAAAAGAAGTAAATAAAAATAAGTGCAAGTTCATTCCTGAGCACGTTTTCTTTGCTGACTTTGAGTGCAGTACCGATGGCTTTCATAAAGCTTTTAACATATGTTACGACAGTGAAGATGGTTCAGTGAGTGAAAGCATTTGGGGTCAGAACTGTGCAACAGAATTTTTGGAACGACTTCCTGACAAGAGTTTAATATATTTCCATAACCTCAGTTATGATATAAACTTCATCTTAAGACACATGACAGAAGTGAAAGGAACTCCCATCATTAAAGGTTCACGAACAATGCAAATAACTGGCTTATATAAAGGAAGGGCAATTATTATAAAAGACTCTTACAGTGTTATAAATAAGAAGCTTAAACTATTTCCTGCTATGTTTAACTTACAAACAGGACCGAAAGAAGTATTTCCATACAACTACTACAGCAGTGTTTTGTTAGCAAATGACAACAGAACTGGTGTCATTTCTGAAGCATGTAAGTTTGTGAGATAGAACATTCATGAAAAACATAGATTCCATCAAAGGTTGCAGAATAGATGAGAACCACTTCGACTTAGAAAAGTATAGTACATTTTATTGCAAACAAGATGTAAGAATTTTAAGAGAAGGTTTTGTTAAGTTCCGCAATGACATATTGAAAGAATTTGATTTAAACGTTTATGACTACGTTAGTATTTGTTCTATTGCTAACAAATTGTTTGAGAACAGAGTGTACTTCCCGAATGGAAATTTATATGACCTCTCAAATAAACCAAGAGAATTTATTTCACGCTGTATTCAAGGTGGAAGATGTATGCTGTCAGATAACATGAAACAAAAGAGCGAAAAGAAACTCATTGCTGACTTCGACGCTGTTTCATTATATCCATCAGCTATAGCAAGACTTTATACTTTAGAAGGTATTCCAAAGGTTATGAAGAAAGAAATGTTAAGCACAGAGTATCTCATGAGACATTTATTCGATGACGACCAAAAGGAACCCATTGGTGAAAAGTTTATGTCTGGCTTCTTTGTTCTCATTAAGATAACAGAGATTGGAATACATAGACACTTTCCTTTAATAGTTTGTGACCCTGAACTAAATCCAGAACTTAACGTTCCCAGAAGTTCAAACACTTGCTGTTTAATGTATGTTGACCATATAACATTACAAGACCTCATAAAATATCAAGGTGTCAAATGTGAAGTGTTGCAAGGATACTATTACGATGGAAACAGAGATATTAGAATAAGAGATGAAGTAAAGAAGTTGTTTGAGTTAAGGTTAAAGTATAAGAAAGAAGGAAATCCTTTGCAAGAAAATATAAAGCTCATTCTGAACAGTATTTATGGCAAAACTATTCTATCTCCTATTGAGTCAAAAATAACCATAGTAAATGACAAAGATGCTATAAGATATGCCATCAGAAACTACAACCATATAGTGAAGTTCGAAGGTTTGGATGGTTCAGATAAAACTATTTTCAAGCTAACGAAAAGCATTTGCAGACACTTTAACTTCTGTCCACTTGGTGTTAACATTCTGTCTATGTCGAAGAGAATAATGTGTGAAGTATTCTGTACTGCTGAAGATATGGGACTTCAAATATTTTACCAGGACTGTGATAGCATGCATATTTTCAATGAAGACATACCAAAGCTTGCAGCAGAGTTTAAGAAGAGATACGGTAGAGAACTTATTGGAAAAATTAGGTCAGTTCCATTCTGACTTCGCAGAAATAACACCTGGAAAACAAAGTTTAGCATACAAGTCAATATTTTGTGGAAAGAAGACTACATAGACTTACTCACTAACGATTTAAATGAAGTTGCATTCATGCACGTTGTAAAGGTGTAAAACAAGACGTTCTTGCTTTAACAGCTAATGAAATGTTTCCTGAAGCTATACAATGCTATTACAATGAAGATAAGAACATTCACATACCTGTTGGAACATATGACAAAGACTCTGAGTTCAGTTTAATGAAACTTTACAAAGCACTTCATGATGGTCAAGAGATTGGATTTGACTTATGTAAGTCATGTCAACCTTGCTTTGAAGAGAAGTTTAACTTCTCAATAACGACTAAAACAAGCTTTATTCGTAAGTTGAAGTTCTGAGGTCATTTATTTTTGTCAGCAATGAGGTCATTCGTGATAAAAATAATGAGGTCATATATTTTTGTCATTTATGTATAACCATTGTCTCTCTTAAACTTTGCAATAGACAGCTTTGTTCTTCTTCCTTCTACATCTGTAATGTTTATATAATCTTTGCTATACTGTCTTAAGACATTCATTCGTCTGTATTGAGTTCCCATGAAATAGTAAAAGACATCTTCACTTGGGACATAGTAGTAATTTTCTAGAGTAAATTTAGAGTATTGTATAATTTCAACAGCATCTTCAGGAAGAGTGTCTACAATGTCAAACCAATAGCCATTCGAACCAGAAATATTTCTCATGTTTTGTCTTCTCGACACCCACCTTAAGTTTGAGATATGAAAGTCTCCTCTGTCTCTGTTTATATGGTCTACTTCTCGAAGTCCTTCAGGATTCGGTATAAATTGATTTGCAACAATTTTATGCTTAAAGAGTTTATGTTTGTTTAAATAAACACAAATATAACCATCACCGTTGTCAAACTCACTTACAACTCTTTTGTTACTTATGCGCCTAATTGGATATGGGTACTCTGAAAAGATTTCATAGTCATTGTCATGTTCGAGTGTTTGCCAATGTCCTTCACCTTCCATGCCTTTCACTCAAATAAAAATTTTCAGAAAAAATAAAACTAGCGTAGATTTTACAATACTGCGATGGTAGAGTTTAAGAGTTGTGCTTCAATGTAGAGACAGTCCTTATGGTCTGGAGGTAAGAACACTGGGCAGTTATGGTCATGAGTGGAGAACATGTCTATCCAAAACTCACGATTGAAGCCAGTTAATTTATAGTATTTAGGGTTAGGAAGTGGTGAAGTTCTTGTATGACCAATGAACTCATTTTCAACTCCCTTACTTAAGTTTGAATATAATATAGCTTGCTTTCTATCCCAAATGCCAGGTGTTACAATCTTTGAAAATTCATTTTTCCTCGGAAGCATTGCATCATAATTGAAAACATTCTTGAAATCATCACTTGGTTCAGAGATTTGAAATCTTATACGTAATGGATTTTCTTTCTTTTTAGCGACTTCATTGAATGGTGAGAATACAACAAACTGACAGTCATGAGTTCCATCTTCATTTTCATTAAATTCATAATGAAAGTCTATAAGTTGTGGCTGACTACCTTCTTCTTTCAGTTGTGCAAGAAACTCACGTAAAGGCTGTAAAGTTTGTACTTCAATGTTAACTTTTTCTCGAACATTCATTAAATGAAATCATACATTGTTGCAATGTTGTATCGTCTTTAAAGTATTTGTATATGTGAATGTTTTGGGCGCTTAAAGACTGTTCGTCATTTTCTATCTCGACTTGAAGTATAAAGTCAACCTTTCTGAAAGCACGTGTTATATACATAGATGTTATGCCAATGTACTTCTCTTCATTTATGTTCACAATCCAGTCTGTTGGAAACTTAAACGTTACTCTGTTCCCCTTTATTTTGACGTCAGGGTTTTCACTACTGAACGCAACAGATAAAGGTATTTGTCTATACATTTAATTCGGATAAAAATAAACCATTTACTCTTTCTTTGCTTCAGCTTCTTTAGCTTTTGCTTCAGCTTCTTCTCTAGCTTTCTTCGCCAGCAGTGGGTTCTTTTGTCTTCCAGCAGCTAATGCAGCAAGTTGTTTTTCACTAAGTTTTCTCTTTGGTCTCTCTGGCTTTTGTTCTTGTTTTTGTTCCTTCAGTTCGGATAAAATTTGCTCACGAATTTCTTTCTTCAATGCTTCAACATCTATGACCCCTTGGGTCTTGTCCGTAGGGCTTGTCTGAGTCATTTGACTGCAGATAAAAAACAAAATTAAAACTTTAACCGATGTAAAATGAGCTTGTCAAAATCAGAGCGAGAGTCTATTATATTAAATGACGCAAGAGGAATACAACATCCTTTCTATTACGTAAGTCAGAGTAAAGATGGTAAAATATACGTAAGAAAAAGAAAGGTTCCATTAGCGAATGCAGAAAGCGACAACATTAAGGTGTATGGCATGAGGGCGAAGCCCATGTTAAGCCTTCTATTCAAACTGAAAAGTCAATAGAACCAGAAGAAAAGAAGCCAGATGTACTTTCAATAACGAACCAAGAGCTTATTGCAAAGTTCGTGAATTTCATTGAAAAACAAACCGAGTCAAAGAACCTGACCCCAGTGAAAGAAGTTGAGACAAAAGAGAATGTACAGTTCATTGAAAATGTCAAGAAACAACTTCCACCACGAATGCCAAGAAGAAGAGTGAGAATAATGAAGTAAATAGATATTTTTATCTGAAGTAAATACATGCAGAACGAACAGCTAAACGAATTTACTCCAGCAGAGCATATTCATCAGATTCGCTCATATTTCGATATCATAGACAATGCAGTTCAAATTGGTGACACTAATAGAAAATATTCTGACGCAAAGATTCCATCACAACCTGGAACTGCTAAAGATAACACATGGGTAACATTCAATCTCTCACCTCCTGGTGAAAATATGTTGGACCTTTACAATACATTCATTACGTATAAAATGGAAGGTCAATTTATTGTAGATAAAGAAATTGGTTCAGGTTCCAATAAAACAAACCCACCAGGATTTTGGATTGGTTTCGATGACGCTTTCTATGCAGTTGCTGGATATCAAATCCTTGCAAATGGTCGTATCGTATATTCTCAAGACAACGCAAGAGAAGAAGCATATATAACTTCAAACTCACAAACTACCGAACAAATAAAGAAAGTAGATGTTTTCTCAAAGACTCGACATGAAGATGTATGGAGTCATTCGGGAACATGCAGAACAGGACAAATTGTTAGTGGTCCAATTACAGCAGGAAAATCATTTGATTTTAAGCTTCGTTTAAGAATTCCTGTTAGAAGATTCCTTCCATTAGAAGCTATTCGATTTATTCCAGCTTTTGCAGGAAACATTCAGCTTAAAGTAAAGTTCAGTAGCGACGCCTTACAATGCACATCTATATCTGTAAATGATATCATTGCTTTCAATCCAACTCTTAAAGTTGCATTTGCTTCAGATTCAAATCCACCGACAAATAAATTTGTTCCATGGAATGAACCATTCACTATGATAACGAAGGCAGTAGAAGCTAGTGGAACAGTTACTATTACAACTGTAACCCAGCAACTATTTCGAACAAAGATGGATTTTAATGAATGTTTCATTCATCCAAAGTCATTCTCTTTAGACCCTAACATTTATACAGAACTTGTAGAACATTATACAAACGAGGCTTTATGTTTTCCTGTTAAAGTTATGGATTGGATTCCTATGGACGGTTCATTCTCAAAGAATACAGATAGTTCAAGTGCAACATTTACAGCAGCTTATACGCCTATTAATGTTAAAAGTATTTGGGCACTATTTAGAAAGAAAGACAACTATTATGTTAATTTTGAGAACCCTAAGTTTAAATATCTTCAGCTTTCCATGGGAGCTTATGGAAATATGCCTGCAGAACCTGAAAAATCATATGGACCTGTATTTTATGAAATGGTTGCGAACGCCTGCAATACAAACAATGATATGATAGGATTTAATGAAGATGTTATGAGGTCATTGGTGGATGATGGTAGTGTGGAACATAAATGGGATAGCTATGACAACACGCATTTCTTATGTGGTTTTCCAACAGAAGTGGACTTTTGCTTCCAGCAAGGTCAAACATCTACTGCTCCAATAACATACAAATTGTCTGTTAAAGGACCTATTGAACTAGCAACTGAAAATGTACCAAAGCCACTTATTGGATTTATGAGGGATTGTTGCTTTGCCATTCAGGTGCGTGCTAATGGCATCCCCATAATAAGATTAGATGACTATAACTTAGCTACGGACGACAGTGAGGAATAAAGGGATGAACGTTTATTTTTAAAGCTTATAAATGAGTTCTTCATCAAGCTCTCGTGAACCTTCACCATCTATGAAACAAACTTTACCAAACGATTATGGAGCACCTATTGAATATTTCTTACGAGCTGCACAATGGCAAAGAGCAGTCTCACCAAGGTTAGGTGTTCCACCAGCTCCTGTCAAAAATAGCATTTGGTCAAGTCCTTATATAAGATATGGTCTCCCACTAGGTTTGCTAGCTACAGCAGGAGCAGTTATGATGTTGAAAAGAAATAAAGCAAATGTTGTAAATAATATAGGGTGTCCAAAGGTGCGTTTAGCACAGCGCTCTATATGAGACTATTAAAGGAGATATATGCTGATTATAAATATATAATAAAAAATATGAATATATGTATATGATGAGTATGTTGTATTTTGGCGCCATGCCGGGATATAAAATGAATTTTGAGACAAGAGGCGGTTTCGCGGGAAATTTTGGCGGGATTTTTTTCATTTTTTTAATGAATCATAAAGAAAACAT